GCCCGCCCCAGGCCTTCACCACACTATTGTCTGTGTCCATGGGTTATGCATATATGCATACAAGTTTTTGGTGGATCTCTTCCCACCCACTCACCCACCCCTGCCTGAGGGAAGGTGACTTTTAAAGGAGGTGATCCAAGAAGGTTTGCAAGCTGAGGGTAGGAGCCTGTGAGGAAAGAGTTTAAAATAGGAGAAAAGAGGGGAGGCTTGGGGGCTCCAGCTGAGAGAGGCTGGAGTACCCCAAACCCTGGCTTCCTTCCAGCTCTCACGAACATTCTTGTGCTTTGTACTTAAACTAATTGAAAGCACTTTTTAAATTCTTCTAACTGAAAAGCCAGGGGTAACTGGCCTAGAAAATCTGCAATCTGGACATTCAAACCCTGAATAATTAAGGTGTTCCCTCCTCATTTTGTGTCATTTATGCCTAACTTTCAAGCTATAAAAACTTACAATTACCTTGATGCTCTTTTTACCCCATTTTACAGATGAGGAAACTGAGGCCCAGAGAAGTTAAGTAACTTACCCAAGGTCATACAGCTAGTAAATGGTAGAAAAGGGCTTCAGACTCAAGTAGTAAGGCTTCAGAGGCTATGCTCTAGAGTCATAAATCTAGGACAACTGGAGAAAAGCATTAAAAATATACTTCTTTTAGGACAGAAAATACAATAGGATAAAAGTAAGAACTTTGGGTCATTTTTTTTTTTCACTTTCCTTTCAAAAAGAGAAATTTAGGAGGAAACCAGAGGAAGGTCATAGACCGCAATCATTTTGAATCTGGCCTGTGATCTTGCCTTTTGATTCCCAGAGGTTGAAAGGGTACATGAGGGGAAAGTATATCCATGTTGATGGTCACCTGAAGCATATATATTGTTCAAAAAGCATTGAGAATTGAAATAGGAATCGGGGGGTGAGTATACATGTGTGTATGTCTGTCTGTCTCCACAATCAGAACAGCAAACCCTTTTGGGTTATTGACCTCATATATGATGGCCATACAAATTGAGAATACCAGTGGAAAGGAGGAAATAAAGGTGTGTTATTCATGAAATAATTTCTATCCTTTAACAAATTTAAATCCCTACATACATTGAAATATAATCTAAATAAGTGTGTAATCAAAAATTATCTCTAAATATTTGTTTTAACTCTGAATGAGGAGTAACCAGGAGAAATGGACTTAAATGACAGTAATCTGAAGTCAATTACATTTTTACAAGTAGAAGTTATGCAATACCAAAGAAAGATAAAAATTTTCTTTCCTAGAAATGCTTAAAAATAGAGTAGATTTGTATATTACCAGTTGTTTTTTCAGGACTGCCCCAAACATCAAGATAGTACATTTTTTTTTAAATGGGCGGAAGATTTGAATAGACACTTCACAAAAGAAGATATGTGAATAGTCAGTGATTAAAGAGCTTATTATCTGTCTGGGAAACACAAATTAAAGCCACATTGAGACACACTGCACGCCTACTAGAATTGCTAAAATTAAAAAGATTACCGCCACCATCAAAGTTTGATGAGGATGTGGAGCAACTGCAACTCACGCTAATGAAAATGCAAAATGGTACAACCACTTTAGGAAAAATCTGCCAGTTTCTTATAAAGTTAAACACACTCACTGTAAGACCATGAAATTCCACTCCTATGTGTTTGTTTACCCAAGAAAAAGAAAAACTTATGTCCACAAAAAGACTCGTACAAAAATGTTTGTAGCAGCCCTATTAATAAAACTCCAGATGCCCATCAACAGAATGGAAAAGTGAGCTGGGGTCTATTCACACACAACAGACTTACTACTCAGCAGTAAAAAGAAATATTGCCACATGCAACAACATGGCTGGATCTCAGGAGCATTCTGTTGAGTGAAAGGAACTTCACACACACACACGGTACATATGGTACTTTTCTGTTTTTATGATGTTTTACGAAAAACTCAGAATGGAGGTTGTCTTTGAAGAGCAGAGGACGGAGATTGACTGTGAAGGTACATGTGAGAACCTCTGGAATAATTATAATGTACTTATCTTGATGGAGGTTTGGGTTATACTGATAACTATGTTAAAACTTAGTGAATATACAATTGACTTGTGCATTTCATTCTATGTAAACATTACCTCAAAAGAAAAGAAACAAATACAGAACTTGAATAAAAAAAGGGAATAAAATGTTAATAGTAGAATCTTGGTGGTGGCTAGAAGCATGTTCACTATAAAATTCTTTCACCTTCGTTGTAATTTTGAAATTTTTATAATAAAATGATGAATTTCACTCCTAGGTATGTGCCCAAGGGAAATGAAAACATATGTCAACGCAAAAACTTATACCTAAATATTCATATGAGCATTATTCATGATGACAAAACATAGAAAAACCCAAATGTCTATCAGATGATGAATGGATAAATCAAATGGGATATATCTGTACAATAAAATATTATCCTATATAATGAAAGGCTAATATGCAAATCAAACAGCAGAACGACTGGTTGCTATGATGCTCAACGCAGGAACTGCCCCCTGGTGGTCAGTGCACTCCCACAGGGGAGTGCTGCTCAGCCAGAAGCCAGGCTCGTGGCTGGCGAGTGCAGTGGCAGTGCTAAGGACCCCTCGGGGGATGTCCACAGCGGGGTCCTAGACTGCAAGAGGGCACAGGCCGGCTGAGGGATGCCCCTCCTCCCCAACCCCACAGAGCATGAATGTCACACACTGGGCCTCTAGTATTATATGATTCCATTTATATGAAAGGTCAGGCAATAGGCAAATCTGAAGAGACAGAAAGTAGATTAGAGGTTGGCTCAGGCTGGGGGAGTTGGAGGGAAATGGGGACTAACTATTAACGGATAGGGGGCTTCTTCATGGGATGATGAAAATATTCTAAAATTGATTATGAAGATCATTGTGAAACTGAATATATCAAAACCCATTGAATTGTACATTTAAAATGAGTAGTGAATTGTATGGGATATGAATTATAACCAATAAAACTGTTATAAAAAAATAAAATACTGGAAAAAATGATCAGGCTCAGCCTTATTATCACACAATTAATTGCCCTATGAACTACAGATCTCTTCATCGAGAGCAGGGGTGGGGAATCTTTTTGCTGCCAAGGGCCATTTGGTGATATTTATAACATCATTTGTGGGCCATACAAAATTATAACTTACACATTAGCCTGCTATATTTGGTCAAACATGTAATTATCTCACCCTAATGCCTTGGCAGGGCCAGACCAAATGATTTCTCGGGCCTTATTCAGGGCCCACAGGCTGGATGTTCCTCACCCCTGATCTACCTGAAGAGAAAGCATCCTTGTCATGTTTTCTAATGTGTGCATTTTAATACAAATTTCTTAATCACTTTCTAAATTCACGAAACATATGAACCTGGTATTAAATCTTTGTTTGTCAAACTCTAACTGAAAGACTAACATTCTAGCAGATGTTTGGTGTTTGTTTGGTTGGTTTTTTTTTTGGGGGGGGGGGTTATTTTTTTATTTTGGTATTTGGTGTTTTTGTTTGTTGTGCCGAGCCAGCTCAGCCAAGGGTTTACAAGCCTGAGTGAGGGCGGCGAATGGATGAAGAAATGACAAAGAGAATAAGCTGGATCTAGGTCAGCCATGGGCAAACTACGGCCCGGGCCAGATCCAAACACTTCATCCATGCTTTTGTTCCGGCCCTCCGGTCCAGTTTAAGAACCCATTGTGGCCCTCAAGTCAAAAAGTTTGCCCACCCCTGGTCTAGGTGGATCTTCCTGTGCCTGGCTGAGGCTACAGAGAGAGATCCAGAGGCAAGCTGAGCCTTTATTTTATAGCCAGAGGTAAACAAGGTAGTGGTCACCATAGTTACAATGTTCTTGTGAGTTTCACTTGTTTTGGCAGCACTTGCTGCACCTCCCACAGCCCATTAGCTACCCAGATAAGATCTAGGGAGCGTTATAAGGTCAAGCCTAATTATGCTAAGAGGACTGTGCCCTCTAAACTGAGACTTGTTTGTGACTTTGCCAACAGGTCAGTCCAAGGCTTAACCCTATAGCCGCACCCTACATCTCGTCCTTTTTTTATTTTTAAGCTACTATAATGAAGGTAAAACTTAAGCATCAAGAACAAAACTCTGGCTATTAAAACAATAACAAAACAATGCCAATGCAAAACCCAAACTACAGACATGTTAACATTTTAAAACTTAAACATAAAGCTCTGGCTATTAACAAAACAATGCCAACGTGTTAACATTTTTTAAACTAGTAAGAATAACAAAACAATGCCAATACAAAACAGCAATAAGTGAGTTTCTGCTAAATGAAAATTTCTTTTGCTGATTTACTCAGAGTCCTCAGACTTGGCTGCGCAAAACTTCGCAGAAGACTGACAGCTAACCAATGCTAGCATAGCCAGAAACATGATTGAGGGAGTAGCTTCCACATCTTGCTTTTCTACCATCTGCTGGACCTCAGTTGTTAACTTCTTCAGCTGACCCCATGTTGGCACCTCGGTCCCTTGTGTAGCCTTCATCATCTTCCTTTTCCGTATTGCTGTCATCTGGGCAACTCTCAGTCTTTTGAGCGAAGGGACAAGGAGCTTCTCTGGGTCCATTGTGGTGACACACGTAATGCTCTGGCACCCAAATTGGCTGCGCTGCTCCTTCTGAAAAGATGCAAACACAACCTCTTCCCCACATCATTACTAGATCTGGTAAAACTCTTGTCTGGTTTGTGCATCCCTCCACCGGGCTAACCCAGCAGAGGCTATTGTACTGGAAGTCCGATGCCTTTTGGCCACTGTACAACTCTCTGCATCGTAATTCAAAAAATTTAACAGATAACATTCTTTAATTTAACAGATAACATTCTTCTCCCCACATTTTTTTTGTTTTTATAGTTGCATTTTAACAGTAGGATTGGTGCTTTCCGCTATTGCCTGAGTCCTGATCTATCACCCCAGGAAGAACTTGCCAATCCTGTGCTTCCCGGGGTGGCACGATAAAGGTTTACTGAGCCAGCTGGAAAGGCTGCAGTGGGGTTAAGTAGGCAGGAATTTCCCCTGGACCTTAGTTGTTTTCCTACCTTCTCCCATGCCTCTGCATTTACCTTTCCTTCCTCAGGAAACCATGGGCAGGTTTTACTTACAAAATCCAACAAATCGAAGAGCTGTTGATACCTCACAGAACAGTCCCGTGCTTGGAGCATAGCCTTAAGCATGGCTACGTATAAATTCTTTTCCTGCGATCCTGAATTTCCCATGTTTTACACCTAGTTATATCACTGAACTTCGCTCCGTACCTTCCTTCTTGTTTTCTGCACGTGCTTCACTGGAGCGTCCTTTCACCTGACAACTGTAGTTCCCCCAAACTCAGGCCCCGCGTTGGGCGTCACATGTGCCGAGCCAGCTCAGCCCAGGGTTCACAAGCCTGAGTGAGGGCGGCGAATGGATGAAGAAATGACAGACAAAGAGAATAAGCTTGGTCTAGGTGGATCTTCCTGTGCCTGGCTGAGGCCACAGAGAGAGATCCAGAGGCAAGCTGAGCCTTTATTTTATAGCCAGAGGTAAACAAGGTAGTGGTCACCATAGTTACAATGTTCTTGTGAGTTTTACTTGTTTTGGCAGCACTTGCTCCCTCAGCCCATTAGCTACCCAGATAAGATCTAGGGAGCGTCATAAGGACAAGCCTAATTATGCTAAGAGGACTATGCCCTCTAAGCTGGGACTTGTTTGTGGCTTTGCCAACAGGTCAGTCCAAGGCTTAACCCTATAGTCGCTCCCTACAGTTTGTTTATCTGTTTTAACAATTTCTAGTTACAAATGTCTTAGACAAGGGAGTTGGAAATGCCTAAACACTATCTGCTGGTCACCTCAGGTAGCTGTAAAGTCCCAGAAGAACAGAGAGACACAGGGAATGAGAGTGCATGTGAAACGTGAAAGTAATTATGTATGTAAGCCAGCGCTTCTCAAACTTGGGTGCATAATGGAATCTTGGGGGGGTGGGAGGGGAGATTTAAATATCTCAGTTACCCCTGAGTCATCCTTCCCCCTCCCGGAGAGCCAGATGTAACCTCCCTGGGGTGCAATCAGGAGTTTTAAGGCTTCCTAGGAGATTCTCATGGGCAGCCAGGTTGAGAACCACTGTCCTAGGACCGTATCCTGAGCTCGCAGAGGCGGCCGGGGCTTAGCGCAGAACCTTAGCTCAAATGGTGCCCCCAGAATACAAGAACCTCCAGCAGGGATGAGTGTGTGCAGATAGAGGAAACAACATGGCAGAGCACGGCATCATCATCCCCTTTCAAATTTCAAAAGAGAACACACTACCTGATTCTAAATCAAACTCTATTTTAAAAGGTATTCCATGAAAAGCTTTCCTGTTCCCCTGTCCCCCCGTTGCTCTATTCTCATCACATTTCCCACCCCAAAAGAGGCCCCTTGTCAATAGTTTCTTCTCCTTCTCCTTCTCCTCCCCCTCCTCCTCCTCCACCTCTTCTTCCTCCTCCTCCTCCTTCTTTTATTTTTTTAAGAGAAGGAAGAGAGAAACATTGATTTGTTGTTCTACTTATTTATGCATTCGTTGGTTGATCCCTGTATGTGCCCTGACCAGGGATGGAACCCACAACCTTGAGGTATCAGGACAATGCTCTAAACAGCTGGGCCACTCAGCAAGGTCTCATAGTTTTTTCTTTTTCTAGAGAATTCAAGCCAATCCAAATATATGTTCTTTTTTCCGTTTAAATGGGATGGCAGAACTTCATGCTATTATTTTTTTTCTGGGAAAATCATGGAAATAATTTCATATCACCACTTAAAGAGCTTCCTCATTTCTTATGTCTGCATAGTACTCCATTCCTATCTGGTATTGTACCCAGTGCTCCCATGAGTAACTCTGTGCTATTCTGTACATGTATGAATATACCTGATGCACTTTTTCAAATTGCCCTTCATAGGGTTGTTGCAATTCACACTTAGACCAGCAGCGTATGAAAGTTCCTGCTGCCCTAGCTGGTTTGGCTCAGTGGATAGAGCATCTGCCTGCGGACTGAAGGGTCCCAGGTTTGATTCTGGTCAAGGGCATGTGCCTGGGTTGCAGGCTTGATCCCCAGTAGGAAGCGTGCAGGAGGCAGCCGGTCAATGATTGTCTCTCATCATTGGTGTTTCTATCTCTCTCTCCCTTCTCCCTTCCTCTCTGAAATAAATAAAAATATATTAATAAAAGAAAAAAAGAAAGTTTCTACTTCCCCCCTGCCTCACCACAAGGTGGATTGTCACAGTTTTATGTGTGTGTTTTTCAGTCTGATAGGTATAAAAACATATCTCAGTATATTTTGGGTTGCTTGTCTTACTTCTTACTTGTGAAGTTGTATGCATTTTCCTATGTTTAAGATCCTTTCTTACTTTCTCTCCTATCAATGTTCATTCAGCAACAATATCAAAGAAAGAGATGATCTCCTCAGGGCATATGATTTCACCTACTGTCCACACAATCCAACAATTTAGCAGTTCTAAGAGGAACAAGGAGATGAGTGGACAGATGGGCACTCAGAAAGGTGGAAACTTTCCATCCTTGACAAAAGGGACTCACACTATTTACATACCCAAGTGGTCATTACACAACATCATTCATTCATTCCTACAATATTAATTGAATGCTTACTACTATATACAAAGCATAGCCTATGAATGAAATATGACAGAAAGGAAATTAGGATGTACAGCTCAAAATTACATTATAATTGTAGAAGTCTTTCTACCAATATTCCTACAAATTTCTTTTTTATGGGTATTGATGTGCAATTAAACCATCATTAGCCTTAATTAAACTACCATTTCATACTTTTCCCATTTTACTTGCATTAAGCTACTCCAAACTGAGCTAATTATCCAAAATTTGAAATTATGCTTCTACAAATAAAACCTTTACACTTTTAGCGTTTCCCCACAACCTAAAAGAAGTAAATTTCTGGTTTACACTTAACTATTTCCCCGAAGCCTTTTCTGACTTTATGTGCATCTATTTTCTTATTTGGTTTATTTCGGCGTAAACTAGAGACCTAATAAGGACTTTCTAATGGCATCTAGTCAACCCCCAGGCTCCTTGCTAGACAGAGGCTATCCATCTTTTTTATTTTAAAGCATTTCCAAGGAAAAACCTCTAATTTCTTAATAATTCTTCCATTCCAGTTTTTATGATCCAGTCACCTAGAGAACTTTCCACCACCCATCACCTCCAAATGATTTCATTGACCATCTTAATGTAATTTGATGCTGATTACTCCTACGTTTTTCTTCAGTTCTCACAAATTAGTCATCAAAACAGATTCATGCTGTAATTAACTGGCGACTTTGATTTTATTTTCCATAGTGGAATGAATAGACTTTGATTTCTTTCCATGGTGGAAACAACCCTATATTTGTTTCCAAAGCTGGGCATTCAAAAGTATCACTTAAATCAATTTCTATTCCAAACTCCATCCCACCTGGCAGGAAGAACTCACCCTCAGTCACTGGGGGGCTGACCTCAGTCCCTCCCCTGCACCTCGTATAGGACAGCAGAGTCCCAGCAGCTCAGGTAGCACCCAGGTGTCAGGGAGACCTTCCTGGGACCACATCACGGCTGTGGGCTGCACGTTGGGTCAGTGCGATAGCTCTGCGACTCCCCTGCCCTCTTAGTGGGACCACAGGTGAGGCCGGGCTCTGCTGCCTGCAGGACCACAGACCGCTCTTTCCTTTTTAGTTTGGAGGAAATCCCTCACGCTTTCCTCATTTCCTTTAAAGGCACTTCCTCTCTTTCCCCTGTTGCCACAGAACATTAAACATAATTGGGGGTTTGGCTTTTGAAAATCTGAATATCTTCAAAGGAATTTCCACCGTCCATTTATACCTTAAGCACCTGCGAGCACATGGTGTGCCGGGATGTGTGCCAGGCGGCCCCTGCCCAGCAGGAGCTGGCAGTGCAGCCAGGGAGGTGCACTGGCTGGCGGCAAGCTCTCTACTGCCAGGGAAGTGCCGAGAAGGTGGGACCGGGGACCCGGGAGGCAGGGGCACCTAGTGCACAGGGCATGGGGAGCCTCCTGGGAGGAAGGTGCACTAAGTTGGGGCCTGCAGGGGTAGGAAACAGGTATTGGGCTTGGCAGGTAGGGGGAAAGATGGTCCCAGCAGCGTTTATTCCAAAACTGCTCTTCTCAATACTCTTTGCTCAAATATTTGTGGAATTAGTTACACCTTGCAGCTCCCCAACTCTCGCTGCTGAGGGTCTCTGAGGGCATTTGAACTTTAGGAGACCTCTCTTTTCTGTCTTCCTGAAGCTTTGGGGGTGTTTTCTAATATAAAACAATAGTTATTGTCTACTTAATGTTCTTTACATTTCCTTCCAACTGCATTTGATGGTATATCAGTTAAAGTTTGTCCTTAGCACGGTTTCTTTTAACAATGAATGATAACCTACCTCCAATGAGAATTTCCTTTGTGTGTGTGTGTGTGTGTGTGTGTGTGTGTGTGTGTGTGTGTGTGAAAGTTATTATAATCAAACTCCTTTTTTATATTTGCCTTACTCTTCTATTACCTAAATCCTGGGGAATTGGGTTCAAACTACATTGGCTTATGGATGCTGCAGTAATGGAGTTCATCTGATTATATTTTATGTGAATTCCATTTTATAGTGTTTTCATGAGGAGTAAACTGAGTCTTCTCTATTGCCCTAAACCACAAGGAATTACAACGGGTTGGCTCTGGAATAACACAATTTATTGTCAGTTAGCCCAAAAAATAACCAAGGAGAGTGTGTTGGGGGGAGGAGAGACAGATGCTCTCTTAGCAAAATAAAGCCAGAGTATTTTCAGCAATACTGGAATCAAAGTCATGTTAATACAAGAAATGTGAATCTGTCTAATGGACCAGATGGAGGGGAAGGAGAGGAGACTCTTCAAGGAAAATAATTCCCACGGGGGAAGACGGGATGATCTTGAACGACTAGGAGAAAACTAGGTAAAGCCTGGTGTAGAGGCACCCCCATTT